TTTTTTTTTTTTTTTTTTTTTTTTTTTTTGTTTCGGGTTGTTTTTTTTTTTCCATGTCCTGAATTAAAGTCTCTGGCACCCCCATACCCTTTGAATCTTAGAAAAATTTTCAAGGTTTATGTATTTTTAGAGGGAAGAAATAAATACATTTGTGTGAAAGCAGTACATTAGATTCTAATTATCAGTTTTTAAAAGAAGCTATGCAATCTGTATAGATCATAGAGTTCTTGCCAAGAGAAAATATGTGTAGAATAATTATATTTTGAAAGGGCAACCTTCCAAATAGAAAGTATCAAGACTCATTTACACCCTCTTCTCTTGTAATGGGTAATCCTTTTTCCAACACACACTTTTGCAGTAGAGATCTGCCAAAATAGGTCTGCTTGGGTCTATGTTAACTGCACAAAAATGGCCCTTTTTTCCTTTACTCCGTTCGGTTTATCATTCTGTATTTTCAGTCTTAGGTAGGATTGGAGTTGAATTGGTGTTCTGGTTTCTCAAATAGTTTTTATTGCACATCTTCCCCAAGAAAGTACGGGGGCTGGTGGCTACAGAATGAATAGTGATACCTGGGAGTTGGTGCAGGAAGAGAAAATAATGGAGTAAGTCCTAAAATATATCCCATAAAGAAAAATGATGTAAAGATACAGATGTGGGATGTATAATTAATACTGTTGTACAGGCAAGGAATGTTTAATAGCCTGAAACATTTACCATTTTTTAAGTCCAGATATGTACTGCAATGTAGCATTTAAACTGATTTAATAGTAACAAATAAATGGGACAGTAATTTCTGGGTTTTTTCATCCTGTGAAATTGGCAATGGAATAAGACCTAGAATCTCAGAGTGTATCATAAGGTAAATATATTAGTTTTGGGGTTTTAAACATTCCTTGGCATCTGGGAAATGTGGAAAGGGAAGTTGTCAACTCATACAACAACTTTCAGTGTCTGTATTGCTGTGAAATTAAGATCACAGCAATCCTGGCAGATGTCATAGCCCTTGTTCTGGCATGATTTGTGTGGGTATAGTGATTGCTTCATTTTAAAGTAGACTATCTTGCAATTTTTTAAGCTTCTTTTGCTTCCAATTTCTTTACCTATGTATGTGAATTTACATGTTTGACTTTCAAAATGGCTGTATTAATAGAAGTCATAGAAGTATTTAAGAAAAGAGAAGGTGAACAGTTGAGGATCAGATGAATAGGATACTGAAGAGAAAATCAGCACCACAGGATACTGAGGAACAAATACATCTGATCTATACTCCTGCAATGCTCAATTTACCTAGGAGTATGGACCCATTCTTGAAGTACATTACCTAACGCTTTTACTGGTCTTTCATGTGGTTTGAAATTATATGGGCAGGTGTGTGAGTTCTTGAAGTGACACAGAGCTGATAACACTAAGTTATTGAAGCAGTAACATCTTAATTTATTGCTAAAATACAATCATACTTCTTCCTAGAAACTGTCAGAAGAACTGAATAAGTAATTTCTCCCAGATGTGCTACTAGAGAGTTGTTACCAACTTTTCTTCCTCTTTGAAGCAAACTAGCATTCAGCTTGTTACAGACTGAAGCAGATTGCTAGATCACATGGATTTGTAGACTGACTCAGTCTGGCATCTGGTACTGGATAGGATTCAAAAACACAGCCATAATTGCTGCATAGATTTATGCAATATATCTTACAATAGTCTCCATCTTATTATTCATCCTTTATTTTTTTTTTAATCATTCAGTTCTTTTGCCATATGTGTTATTGTTTGCACACATTAGCAAGAATTATGGAATTATATGTCTTTTTCTGCCATCATGGAAAAATATTAATGATTTTCTGCACTAACAGGGTTTTGCTGCAAGAAATTATTAGTTTTACACTTGGAGTAGATTTGCCCAAAGATCTGACACTAAGCTGTGCTACTTATATAGTAGAGAATACAAGTGTAGATTTCAACAAAGATAGAAATTAATCCCTCACATTTCCAATCCTCTGATGCATTTTTAATATTCAGGATTTATAGGGAAAACGTAAATTAAGACAACCTGTGTGAATACAATAATTTGTACCTTGTTACAGTAAATTCAGGTGATTCTGGATTGTAAATACCTTGTGGGGAGGGAAGTAGGTAATATCTGAGCACTTGTTCTCTTGTTCTTTAATTTTACTGAAATTGTGGAAGACCAAGTATTAGAAAATAAGTGTGATCAAGAAGGTGAAATGGGATACAAACCCAAAGTTGCTGTTGACACAGTGTCAGAAAAACTAGTCTCTCACAAATCTTTTTTTCTTCAGCAGAAAAAAATAAATGTCTTTTCTTCCAGTGCAATAGAGCTTGTAGCACATAAATCAAGACACAGTAGCAAGCACTTATTCTTTAGCCTAAACTGCTTTCTAGAAAATTTCAGACATTGAAAGTCAGGGTTATTTCCTAGTGTTGTGTAAATACAGCTAATGCTAGCTTCTTGCTCTTCATCCTTGCATCTGAATCTAAGTTTTGCATCCCCTTTATTAATGGAAAATTTAGTTAATTTTAAAGCAATCAATCAGCTATTCCCCTGCAGTAATTTGACACTGCATAATGTTGAATTGACCCACAAAATGCATAGCTTGGTGTGGGTTACAAATAAGCATGCATTTGCACATTGTCCTGCAATGTCATCTAGGAAGCTTATGTCAAAATCAGCAGATTTGGTGAATAAATACAATGTGACACATCCCAGCTAATGCAGTGCATTGCAGATCTGCTTAAAAAGGTGGAATGGTTCCTAGGTTGTACTAGATGAGTGATAGTTGTGAAGCCTTGTGAATAAATCTGCAACTGTAGAATTGCTATTCCTACCAGTTGTAAACCTTTTTTTCTCCAATACATTTTTGAAAAAAAACCTGTGTTAGCCTAGTCTTTGTATTTCAGTCTTCCTTTGTCTTGGGAGCCCTAACTTTTCCTGCTTTTTCTCCAGCTATGAAAAGGAACTATAATTTATTCTCTCTAGTATAATCCAGGGGTTCAGATAAGACATGCAATACAGCTTGATTTGTTACTAGTTGAACACAAAACCTACAGCTGGCAATCAGAAACACCCTCAACCATCTCAGCTTTAGTGCCAAATCCAATGACAGGAGATGGGAGTAATCTTGTCATGCTTCCCGGTTTACAAATTCCTGTTTCATAATTGCATTACTTTGCTCTGTGAAATTATTACTTCGAGGAGTATGTATGAAGGTAGTCTTCACAATGAAACCCAAACAAATTTTATTTAATATAGGGATGCTACTAAAACAGTTGCTTGGTTCCCTCTAAAAAGTTCTAACATTTTTTTTCTTCAAGATTTCTCATCATCATTTTGATTCTTTTTTTCTCTTGATGTGTGTCTATAAGCCTCTAAATGGTAATGGAAGGAAAATACCAAGTTTTTACACTAAGCAGAGTGTAATAAAACAGCAGGAAGTTTTGAGCCATTTAAATTAAAATAAGAAGGAAGAAATTGACATTCATTATCTCAGACTACATAATCTTTTCATTTTGCAAGCAAGGAAATATTTAACACCTTGGAAGCAAAATACTTTATTTTGAACTGGAGAGATAATTTAAAATCACATGTGGGGGGCAGCTAGATGAAAGATCAGAAATTAATATATTCGCTGAGCAAGAATGATGAGATGAAAAAGTAGACAAGAAGAGACTAAGCTTGTGTTCTCTCTGTGCCACAAACCATGACCTCTTCCACAGTCACAAGGACCTATTTTCAATTTCAAGTCAATAGCTATAAATGTTAGTAATTGCCTTTAACTCCTTTTCTGTAGCTTAGCTTCTTGCCCCATTACCAAAACCATTTAGTTTCTCAGTAATTCATTTTCTACATAATCTCCTTTTATATCCCATGTTTCCTCTATTGGGTTTCACCTTGGGCAGTACATCATGTAAATAAAGTCTATATCCATAATTGCTTTACAATTCAGCTTTGGAGAATTCACTCTTGAAAACTCCATTCTGACTGGTGGCCATTATAGAAGACGTTTTCAGTCCTCATTAGATGGGAAAAGAGGATGAATATTTTAAAAACTATTTCAGCATCAGTGGTGTAACCTTGTGTATATTTTCAAAGCTTTTAGATGTAGTTAAAGGATGAGTATGGAGCAGGTAAAGGCATCTGAGAAAGAAGTTCATCATACTGTAGTTGGATTTAAAAGCACCCTGTATTTAAAATAATGTTTAAGGCTGCTTTATTGTAGGAGAGACACTGATTAAAGGGACAAAAACATCCAAGAAGTTGAATTCAAGTTTTTTTATTTTATTTTTAAATTATAACTAGAAATTCATTAGAGTAATAGCCAGAAAAAAAATGTGTATATTGGTATTCAAGGCAGAAAATATTGAGTTCTGTACTCTTTCAAAATGAGCAAGAAACTCCTAGATTCACAGTCTGCAGTGTGATTATCTCCAAAAATTCAAAAGTAAGGGATCAAGTATTTGTGTAAAAGGCAGTATTTTTAGTTCTGTTTAGCATTTACTGTAATCATGAGGTGTATATTTTCTTTTTTTTTAACCAAGTTTGATTTTGATTTTCCGATGCCATCAAGCTCTTGCTCTTGAAACAATGAGATATTTCCCTTTTTGTTCTCTGAAAGCAAAATGCCTGTGGAAGCATTTGACACTATCTCATGTCATCTCACATTTGTTTGATGTGGCTATGGGTGATTTTACATGCTTGGTCTTAAATTTCAGTTTATAAAAACTGTGAAGCCCTGCTTCACTGAGTTTTTGTTACTCAACTGCAGCAAGTCTGTGCTGTACTGGATAGGAGTAAAAGTCTTGCATAACATACTACCCACATTTTTTACATGCACTTAGAGACAGTTAAGGACTTAAGAAATTGGTTCCTCCAAAGTCTTTTATTACATTAAAAAAAAAAAAAAAAAAAAAAAAAAATGCTATCTGGCCTAGCAAAAGCCATTAATGTTTCTGTCCTCTCTTTTGTTCTTCTTTTTCTTCTCCAGCTTCATTCTGACTTGGACAAGGGAGTTGGCACTGTTAAATATACCCTTTCAGGAGATGGTGCTGGCACGGTTTTTACCATTGATGAGACCACGGGAGACATTCATGCCATAAGGAGCCTAGATCGAGAAGAAAAACCTTTCTACACACTCCGGGCTCAGGCTGTGGATGTTGACACCAAGAAACCACTAGAGCCTGAATCAGAGTTCATCATCAAAGTGCAGGACATTAATGATAACGAGCCAAAGTTTCTGGATGGGCCTTATGTTGCCAGTGTCCCAGAAATGTCTCCAGTGGGTGAGTAAGGAGCTGTAAATGCTTGATAACTAATTGCATATGACTTAATTGCCTCAGTGTACTTTTCTTGCTGAGAGAGGGATGAAATGAAAAAAAAAACTTCTAAAACTTATTATTAGAAATGTTTCTAATATTCTGTGCCTAGATTACAGTTTTGTTTTAGCTTTGTTTGCTTATTTAGAAACTTATTATCCAGCAATATGAGTACCTGTGATGCTAAGTTTCTGAGGGTAGGATGAGTTTAAAAAAAGCATCTTGTCTTTTATTTAAATTTGTCTTTGTGGCTCTTAAATTCCTACAGCCCTTGCATGATCTCCTAATTATGCATTAGGGGACAATTCTTTTTCCTGTTATACTCTTATACTCTGCATGCTCAAAGTAACTATTGCCCTTGCCTTGGTCACAATGCAAGAATGAGAGTCTGCAAGAGTGGGTCAAGTTATCAAAAGCCTAACATCCAAAAAAATCTTTAGTGCATCAGACTCCTAATTTAAAAAAGAAAAAAAAAGAAAAAAAAAAGAAAAAAAAAGAAAAAGAGAAAAAGAAAAAGATTGCCTGGGAACATGGTAAGTTTTCAAAAACCTAGTGTACAGAGGACAGAGTAATTCTTTTCAGAAAAAGGTGGACTGCAGTAATGATACTGAAGTACTGGAACAGGTTTTTCTTAAAGAATTTTCACAACACGATAGAAATCTGCCAGGAATGACATAAAGAGCATTGATCCTGCTTTGGAGCAGAGGAATAGGCTGAACGGGCCCTTTTGGTCTCTTCCTGATGGCTGATTCTCCAGTGGTCCTGAGCAGTGTGTTTTCAACATAAGTACAGTGCTTGTATCCTGCTGCCAGATGGCATTTTGGGTTTCCCTGCAGGCACCAGAAATTAATTTGTTCTGGGCTGGGAGTCATTTAACTTCCCAGTGCTAGTTCCAGCTTATTGCCCTTCTCTCTCCTAAAATGCATTTTCCCAGTACTTCACAAGGCAGTACCAGCCATTTCATACTCCTGGTAATTGTTAACAGTTTTGGAAGTTTTCTGACTTTGAAGTGGAAGAGGGATACTGTTCCCCTTCAGCTATGCACCTCAGATGTTGATACTTTTAAAGTCAATCTGGGAGGCGACTAGCTATCTACACAAGTTGCTACATAGAATTAATGAGGCATTGTTTTAAATTTTTTGGTAAGGAGCAGTAGAATGTGATAGAATGTGATAAAATGTGATGTAAGTAGACATATAGAGATAATCATGTTAATCTTATAGAAGTGTTGAGAAGCATTTGCTGCAGTCACCTACAGGACTCTGTCTGTAGATTCACAATATAGGTGCACTATTTTTTCCCCTAATGAGATGCATAATGATATTACTTACAGTTGTATTATGTATAGATGAAAACCATTTGTTACATTTTGACCCCTGTGTCTGTGGCAAATTCAGAATAACATTTCTCACCAGTGAACTTATGGTTGGCAGTGAAATTGCGTTTCAAACCTTAGCAGAAAGAAAAAATGAAAATCAGTGATGGTGTTAGCACAGCAGAAAACAGTGCCTACATTCATTCCCTTATTCTGTTGTTCTCCCCCATATTTCTTTGTTATTTTCTTAAATATGTGTGAAGCAAATTAAATGCTAACAGAGCTTTTGCTTCATATGAAATACTCTTCAAGGTGTGCCATACATTGGGGGCTTTTACATGGATGAGGAGTTACATGACTAAATGAGATACAACTGAGCATGCTGTGACATGCATACAGCATTTTAAAAGAAATGCTTTTCAATTTGTTCTCCTTGAGAAAAACAGAAGTGGATGCCATGGCAAAAATAAATCTTCATGGTCTTCTCTTTATTCAGTCACATTCACTATATCTATTCCTCTATAAAAAAATAATAAAAGATGGATGAAAATTGATCAGAAAAGGCAATGCAAGTAAAAGAGTTCCCTAAATGGAACCCTAAACTTCAATTAGTGGCTACTAAAGCAGATAAGAATTTTTGCTTTTGGGTTGTCTTGCAGCAAAAATATGAAGAAATGCCTTGTCCTCTGTAGTGTACCAGGAGATTGTGCCTTCTCTGATGTAGGCCTTGCTATTCTCTTGTTCTCTTTATCTGTTTTTCCTTCCTTATGCAAGCACTGATTTCTCAGAGGATCTAAAACTACTCCTTTCTATCATCAGCACCATTTAGTTGCACCTTTAGAGATGCTTAGACCTACCAGTGCCTGAGGCTGACATTGAAAATCACTTTGATTTTTCAACTGGTGCAGCATATGGTTGTCTTGGCTTAGGAAAAAACCCAGATAACCTCTTCCTCTCATCCTTTTTTTTTTTTTTTTTAACAATTTCATTTTCTAGTTGCCACTTTTTAAATACCAAATGTTCAAAATTTCACTTACTATAGATTTAAAACAGTATTGATTATAAACTGCACTCATGCACATATTTCTTGGGAAATTGTCGGAAATTCACTGAAACACTGCATTTTTAACCCTTACTAGTCTCTTATGTAAGCCTGACAAGCTTTTGTGACTGGTGGCTTCCAGGCTTTTATTGTTTCATGACATTTGCATGCAAAGTTTTACCCAGTTTGGTACTTTATTCCAAGGTTATTGGTAATATTATTAGTAATTGTACTTTCTAGAAATTGTCATGGCTACATGGTTCTGTTTTGTAATGTCTCTAGACTTCCTAATAATCGCTATTGCTGAATCTGGGATGGCTGAAATAATGCCATAGCATTCACCTCTGGGATGAGGTTGCAGTTGCAGTGTTATAATAAAATCGCACATCAACTGGACCTTGGTAATTTTTTACTAGAAATAGTACAAAAAAAAAGAAAATTCATGTCATTCTCAAGTTCTGGTTTTCTGCACAGAGGTACTACTTAGATATACCTGTCATAGCCATGCTTTTCACAGTAGATTTTCTTAGAACTTTCCATGCATATTGTAGGTGGAAGATTACTTTTTACCTTCAAATTTACATTGAGGGCAGATTGAATTTTCTTCTACAGTTTCTGTACTTCAATAATATTAGTTGTTTTTCCTTTTAACTAATATCACTCATTAAAAAAGATAGTGGTACTGAATATATATATATATATATATATATATTTTTTTTTTTTTTTTTTCTGAAGAGATAGTTTTAGGACTGCTGTTTTTACTTAGTGGTGCCTTCCTTACCAGGAGCCAAATTTCTTCATATGCTCTCAAAGAAAAAAATTAGAAGGACATTTACCCAATACAAGCTAGGACACAAATCTATTTCATGCCAAAGTTTGAATGGACACCCAGCCTTGCTCTTTCTATACATGCACTGTAATCTGTTCTTGTATGATGGAGAGGAAAGTCAATCACAGCCATGAACAAGAAAGATCTTCTCTTGAAAAGCCCTTTGGGTTACCAACTGTTGTAACATGTGGGCTGCTGTACCCATCTGTGATTTCCAGTGCTTCTGATAGTTTCAAAGTGAGCACAGCTTCCACACTGTAGTGGAAGGATATCAGTGCCTCCAAAGTTGACATTGTATTGCTCACATGATAAATGGGGTGCAGAATATTTTATGGTGAAGATTTTACTTTTTAAAGGACTATCTGAAAATTATTTTATTTATTATTTATTATTTTTGAAAATTATTTTACAAACTATTTGAAATACCCTTCAAAAAAACTCAGCAGATGGAGTCAAATTACAATGCAGAACTAATATTTTATGAACGTAGATTGCTATGCTGTTATCTTGTGCTTAGAAAGAGACTTATAAAAGCTTAAGAGCTGAACCCCTAATGTTGGTTGTGGGGTTTTATTCTGTTTTTTTTTTTCTTTTTTTTGGTTATATTGAATTGGTTTTATCAATATTTTTATTTGAATATATTTTCTTGGTTTAGCATAGGTCCCAAAATGTAGAATGAAGAAGAAATATGGATTTATCTATGAGAACTGAAAAGGGTGCCCTAATATCTCCATTTGTAAGTTTGTATTAGCAAAACATGTTCTCCTTAAGTATAGTTTAATCAACTGTGTTGTTGCTTCTGGCAGCTGTGCGAGCTTCTGTTGCAATACAGTTGACGTAAGCATGCAAATATAGCTGAGTTTAAACCAAGGTTATCCCCTTATTAAAGCTATCAGTCCAGATGACTGAGAATGGGGGCATAGCAGCATTAAGCACACATTCAAGGAAAGATATTATTATATACTTTTTATATATTTATACACAAAAATGTGCACAGAAATGCATTTGCTTTCTTATGCATTTCTTTCACTGAATATGCTGATTTTAACAGCAAATTTATGACTTCTATTGTCACAGTCTCCTAATTATTTTCTAAGGTCTTTTCATTATACCTCTATGCTTAAACATAGACCAGCTAGGCCTCTACTAAACCCATCAATTCCACAATATACAGCTACCATATGTTCTTTCCTGCACAATTTCCTTTCATACTTTTCCACCATATTAACTCTTTATTGATTAGATGGGACTCTACAAACTCCAGATCACCATAGCAGACCAAGATGGTCAATGATAATAGAAAGTTGATGTCAGGTTATTTTTATTGTGTTCCTCAGTGGTGTAGCTACCTGAAGAGTCTTATGGATTTGCTTCCAGTTGGTACTGTCAGTGTGAAAATAGTCTCTACAAATTTTCTAGCAGTTCTCCTTCTGGAGTGAATACTTAATTGGCTTTTATTTAAACATTGGCTTATATTTGAACATTGACAATGGAGCATATATATACATCCATAAATGGAACATATGTTTAATATATCCATCCATGTAGTTACATGTGCAAGAATTACAATATGTAGAAAATTAACCTGGTGAAGTGGTGGGTAATAACCTGCACTCTGGTTTGGCTTAGCTTAGCATTGTGTGCCTGAGTTTAGCCTGAAGCTTACAGTGATCATGGGCTGGGGAAGGAAGGACTATAAGGCATTGGAGCAAATGCTGAATGATACAGATTCCTAGCTGATGGCGATATATTTTTAAGGGTTTCCAAAAGCTTACCAAGGC